AGCCGCTTAAGGGTCGAGCGCCCCTACTCCCATCGTCATTCCCCTATCTATTTTGAGTATTTTCATATCTAATCATTCAGTCCAAGTTACTACAATGGATTGGATGCCTTGGCAGCTACCGCTGCGGGGTTGGTGCCAATGGGTGGATGGATTGATTTCCTTTGGATAGAGTATGAGAATAAGCTGGAGGCAGAGAGCTAGATATTGAATTCATTAAAGAAGTCCATTGAAGTTGAGAAAAATGAGTTGCAGGACATTGTGTCCCTATTGAACATTGCTAAATTTGCTCTTGGAGAAGAGACTGATGTGAGGGAGACTGTGGATAAGATGAAGAACAAGCTGAGTGGGTTTAAGAAAACCATTAAGGAATTGAGTGAAGATACTGATAAATGTAGAGATGATGTAAGGAGTTTGAGGAAGATGATCTTGGAGATGATTATCATGTACAACAACTGACCCAAAAAATTTAACACCTTGGTATGTTTTATGACTTTGTCAAGATTAATAATATATTATAGGATGAGTTTTTTTGTGAGCTAGTCTATGCAGATTCTATATTTTATCTTTTTATCAATCCTCTTATTTTTATATAGTCTTATGGTAGAGACTCACAGTGTCATACAGGATAGTTGTACAAAATGTTAGTGATAATCAATCATATGTTATCCTACTATTGACTTTTAGCCAGAATTATGTGGTTACACCCATTTGGTTATTTACAGGACAAGGAAGGATAAGAAGTTGTAATTTTACCTACTTTTCTGACCATGTTAAAGATGTGGGTACTTCAGACTATAACTAAAGTTGCTATATTTTACAGATAACATATAATTAAAAACAAAAATAAAATTAAAGTTGTTATACTTATTGATCATTTTTTTTTTTTCACATTGTTTAGTTGGCCAAAATAGAATTGTTTTTTTTTTTTTTTTTTTAAATATATATATATATATATATATATATATATATATATATATAAACAACTATGCGATCAATTAATTTGAAACCACACGTAAGACATTGGATAAACTAAAATTTCAAATGAAGTGTCCATGCATACTAAAGATCAGAAATTCGATTGCAAAATCAACGCTAATTGAGAACCACGTACTTCCTTTATGAGGAGATCCTATGACACAGGATTATTACTATTTCACAACTTTTCAACATTTCCAATGTGCCAAATAATTTTTCTATCATATCAAATAACCAAACTTGTCAGTATAACACTATAATCATGCAAGGAGGCATAAACAATTTTACACTGTCTCTGTTTCACATTTTTTATGTGGGAACATTGTCAAAAAGAGGTTTAATGTTCGAGTACAATTAAAAGTATATTCTTAGTGCTTAGTCGAAATATTAGATATATATCACTTAGCTCTTATGAGTTTTTGTGATATGACCATTAGTGAATATTGTCGCAAAATTCACGCTGGTTACATTTTATCCTCTAATGTCCCATTTTGTCACAACCCAATCTTTATCTTCTTCAGCATAAATAACACACGGCCCCAAAATTCAATTTCAAAAACATCTAGGCCATCGAACCCAATGCCTCGGACAATCACGGTTAAAATGTCTCAAATAAAAAGGAGCAAAGGTAATGTTCATTATAAATCATTGTCGTTGCTGGGCAAGACGAGCCAAAAGATGCATGAGATGGGGCTCACTTTGCATTCTGCGGATGCAATGATTTATGTGGTGGAAGTCTTCTTTATTATTTTTCATATAGCGACCTGATATAAATAGAGATTTTTACAAAAGATTTCAGCTCAATCCTTCTGTATTATTTTTCATATAGTAATCCATTGAAGTCTTGAGCCCAAGTATCATCTTTTTTAAGTACTTCGTATTAAATTTGGAATGAACTTCGTAGAATAATTTTCATTTGCCTAGACTCCTGTCTTGTCTAACTCTATCATTGCGGTTAAAATATTGAGCTCATAGTTATCATCGTCATATCCTCCATCTATCATAATATCTAACACTTCCCCAAGCTTTTAAATTTTAATTTTAGGGTATTCGAATTTCTCTCTCATTGAATCCAAGTTTGCCACCACAATCATACCTAACACATCCCCAAACTTTCAAATATCATTTTAGGGTATTCTAATTTCTCTCTCATTGAATCCAAGTTTTAGATCAAATTATTAGTGAAGACAGATTTTGTGCGAATTTTAGATAGTGAAGAAGGGGTTTTTTTGAAATTTTCTCCTGAACTTATATTCAGCTCCTCTCTCCCAATCCTTCGAGGAATCCAAACAACGAACCGTTTCTGTTAGCATTTTGTTAGGCTGGGAAATGAATCATGACCACCATTCCTTACTTTCATTTTTTTTTTCCTGATAAATTAGGGAGAGGAGAAATTCGAACACAAACATACTCATTCGAAGAGTTGTGCACTCTATCAGCTAAATTATTGGGGTAATGCTCCCATTCATTACTTGGTTATACAATGGAATTCAATGACGTTGGTTTATAGGTTTACTACTTACAACTAAATATGATCCATTTATCCATAGGGTCCTTTGGTAGAGACTCATATGTTATTACTTGCTTTTTGCCAGAATTATATGGTTGTAGACTATTGATAATGTTATGGGTTGACTGACAATTTAGAATCCATGATGTTTCCCATCTACCGCTACCCATTTTGTTCTATACACAACAAGGAATGAAATTCTAGTTTTATTTTTATTTTTATTTTTATTTTTATTTTTTTGAAAAAAAAATTGAAGTTAGTAATTTTACTCATTATTCTAACTTTGTTAAAGATGTGGGTATGAATTTTATTTTATTTAATTATTATTATTATTTTTGCACAAAAGAAAGATAGAATTAATCAAAACCAGAGAAGTCAATATAAGGCGGAGCTCAGAACTAAAGGTGCTATATTTTAAAAATAAAATTAAAGTCATTTTCTTTTCACATTGTTTACAGCTTGAATAACATTGCTTTTTTTTTTTTTTTTTTTAAAAAAAAAAAAAAAAAAAAACTAAAATTTCAATGGTGTGTCGATACACACTTAGACTATGCTTGTTTCGATATAAAACATTTTTTTTTTGGAGATTTTTTTCTTTTTTTAGGTAAAATAATTTTTTTATTTTGTTTTTTCAATGTTTGGTAAAAGTGTCGGTCAAGGTTCAGATCGAGCTCAACGGGCGGGACGTGTAAAATAATTTATCTAAAATTGATAGGTAAGTTATTTTTGTTACATTGTAATTATTTTTTTTCTTCATAAATATTCTACGAGAACCAAACATCAAAAAATAAAAAAATATATATTTTTTAAAAAATATTTTACGTCCAAACAAACTGAACTTTAAGATAAAAAATTCTTTCGAAAAACCAAAACTTTGAGCAGATATTGTGAAAAAAAACCAACTAGTTAAGAGCAAATCTTGTGACTTTAGAATTACCAATTCACAACTTTTCTAAGTAACCAATTAGTTATAAGCAAATCCTATATTTCAGAATTACTATTTTACTACTTTTCTAATTTGCTTAATACTTCACTTGTGTCGAAAAATATTTCTAGCATATCAAATGACCAAACTTGTCCGTGTGTAACACTATAATCAAGGCATGGGTAAGCTTATATTGTACGCATGTTTTACAATTTTTATTATTATTATTATTTTTCTATGTACAGACATTATTAAAAAGAGGTTAAATGTTTGAGTCCAATTAAAAGGAATATTGTGGATGTTTACTCGATTATTTTTTTTTATTTATAAATATATATGCATAACTTGCACATTTTGAGTTTTTGTGATATTATCATATTATTCCAAAATTTATTACCAATGCTCGTTACATTTTAAAGACTTCAGCTAAAGTATTTTATATCCTTTTTCATATGGTAAGTAATGTTGCATGGACTTCTAGTGACGCGTTTTGGAACAGAGATTTCCACAGACGACTTTTGAAGTCCTGTATCATTTTCCATATAGTTTCTAGCGACGTGGTTTAGATATAGATTTTTGTAGAAGACTTTAGCTCAAGTTTTCGGTATCTTCTTTCAAAGAGTAAGTAATGTTGTATAGACTTGCTTCTAGTGACGTGATTTGGGAAAGATTTTTGCAGAACACTTCCATATAGTAGTAAGTAATGCAATATGGACTTGTTTCCAGCGACCCAATTTGGGGCCTCCGCTGAGTCTTCTGCCTAAGTATCATCTTTCTTATTTAATATGAAATGGACTTCACTCATAGAATAATTTTCATCTTTTTCATCACCCTAGACTCTGGTCTAACTCTATCATTGCGGCTAAAAAATTGAGGTCATTGTTATTATTGTCATACCCACTTATTGTCATATCTAACATATCTCCAAGCTTTCTAATTTTGTTTTAAGGCATTCAAATTTATCTCTCATTGAATCCAAATTTGCCACCGCGATAACATATTCCCAAGCTTTCAAACATCATTTTAGGGTTCTATTTTCTCTCTCATCCAAGTTTGGCACCACAATGGGTGTTCACTCTAGCGAAATAAAGGAACAATATCTAGACATCGCATCCGAAATGAGCTCCTAAAACGAATATTATTTTAAGGCAAACTTAAATTTTCTTTAATTTCTAAGAAGGGGTATTTTTGTAATTATAACATCATTCTAATGGTGCTTAATATTCAAAATTTTCTTAATTTCTATGTGTTGAAAATTAAAAAAAAAAAAAAAAAAAAAGAAAACGAAAAATAAAAATCAATTATTAAAACTACAAATATTTGTAGTAACTTTTACGCTATTCAATACAATTTGCTTGAATAAATTCCCACCTTTACCAAAGCCTGAGAATTTTTGTGATAGGGCCATCAATAATATCATCCAAAATTCACAATAGTTGCCTTTTATTTTTATCCTAGCGACATTGTGTGGAGGCTGAAATATGGTTGTGAAAATTGGGGCCAATTTTGGCTGGTCTTGCCCAGCAATGACAATGACCTATAAACCAATTATCACCATCACTGACAACTTCCTCTCTCCCCTCTATGGCCATGGCAACCCAAGTTTCCCTCTTCACCCCAATCTCTCCGCCCAAAAATCGCCCATTGAAACAATCAGCACTGCCAATTCACTCAAATTCTCCGTGGCACCGCGGACGGCCGCGGCCACGAGGAACACTGAGGCACCCAAAAGGGGCACCAGTTGGGTTCACCCAAGCTGGTGGGGTACTAAGAATGGCCCAAGTGAAGGAGTTCTATGTGATCAAGGAACAAATATTTGAAATGGTCAGTGGTGGTGCACCCATAATGAGCCAATTTTTGACTGGCCTTTTCACCAATGACAATGATTACTTCCGGTTCGATGGTCCAGAGGGTGTAGGAATTGACAATGATTACTTTGTATCGTTTGCCATATAACTTCTACTCACGTGGTTTGGACTTTGGACATTGACTTTTGCATAGTCAAAAAATCTTTATATAGCAAGTAATGTTGTATAAATTTACTTTTAGCAATGCACTTCGGGACAAAGAAAGATTTCTACCTCCTTGATTTTTTCGGTATTTTTTGAATTTTCTTTACTCATTTATTTTTTGCCTCGTTTTGCACGCTGCGCAACGATTGGCGTGCCGTGTGAATCCGGATAATTTTGTAGCATTCTTCATATGACTTTTAGTGACGTGATCTTGACAGAGATTTTTACAGAAGACTTCAGCTCAAGTCATCTGTATCATTTTTCATACAATAAGTAATGTTGTATGGACTTGTCTCTAGCAGTACAATTTGGAAGAGACTTTCGTAATAAGTAATGTTACATGGACTTGTTGCTTGAACAATTTTATTACAAAGTCAAAATTCAAGGCCCCAACAAAAAAATAGTTAAGAAGGAAACCAACTAGTTATGAGCAAATCCTATGACTCCAGAATTACTATTTCACAACTTAAGTTGCTTTAATGTTTCTTTACATCACACCATATATATATATATATTGAAATTTTAAGCAAATTGTATAAATAAAAATAATAATACAAATCAGGCCTTGGCCTTATAGGCCCAAATGCAACAAAAGAAAGGTTACAACAGCCCAAACGAGCTAACAGGCCCAGAATGGCAACAGAGTGTAATACCTAATCCCTATGTATGAAATCGGGAATTTTGAAACCATTGGCAACACATTAGACAAACATATATATATATATATATATATATTGAAATTTTAAGCAAATTGTATAAATAAAAATAATAATACAAATCAGGCCTTGGCCTTATAGGCCCAAATGCAACAAAAGAAAGGTTACAACAGCCCAAACGAGCTAACAGGCCCAGAATGGCAACAGAGTGTAATACCTAATCCCTATGTATGAAATCGGGAATTTTGAAACCATTGGCAACACATTAGACAAACTAAAATTGGATAAAATTTTAACTGACGTTAGTTATCACTGAATGGCGATGTCAGAAAAAAAAAAAAATTGAAAAGTATTTATTTTTAATTACCACTTAAAAATTTTAGCACTTAAAATTCAACTCTTTCATTACTTAATTTTCAGTTTTATAAAACAACACTTAAATGAAAATGAATGATTTTCTATTCACTTAATATATTGAATAAATTCAAGTGTGGAATTCATTTACTATATCAAATGGATTGAAATTTGTTCGCTATTCAAATAGATTTGAGAAAGTTATTTAAGAATCATTTTTCTGGCATATTCTTCTAGTGTTATGTAATGTTAGGGCATAGACTGTAACTTTATTCTACCCAACTTAATAAACACGGCATGAAGACGAGCTTTCATTCCATGCTGGGTTAATAAATTTTGAGTCTCCATTTCATGCCGTGTTTATTAAGTTTTGATAGATAACTACTTATACCCAACTTAATAAGTACGGCATGAAATGAAGACCGTGCTTATTAAGTTTTGACAGAGATATTTTGCATCCACTAGATGTATGTGATATGACCCACTTCATTTGCATTAGTTTGATGCAAAAATTTGGGGGTAGACCCATCTGAAGTCTGAAGTCTTCTTTATCATTTTTTTTTTTGTCATTTGTTTAAAACAATTTTCATCCCTCTAAACTCTAGTTTTTCTTATTAAAAAAAAAAAAAAAAAACTCCAGTTCCGCCCATCTATTTTGAGCATTTTCATATCTAATCATTCAATCCAAATTACTAATAAATCAAATGGATTGAAATTTGTTCGCTATACATTTAAGTTTGGGAAAATTATTTAAGAATCATTTTTCTGGCATCTTCTTCTAGTTTTACGTAATGTTGAGGCGAAAATTGTAATTTTCTTCTACCCAACTTAATAAACACGAGTCGTTTTCATTCTATATCGTGTTTATTAATTTTTGAGTCTTCATTCCAAACCATATTTATTAAGTTTTGATAAATATTTACTTAAACCGAAGTTAATACAATTTCCATCTCTTTAAACTCTAGTCTGTCATATAAATAAAAAAAAAAAAATAAAAAAAAAAAAAAATCCTCTAAGTCTCTCCCATGATGCTTAGGACTGTCAGCACGGGAGCTCCACGCGTTTTCATCCTTGTTTATATGAGCTCCTTCTAAAGTACGGAAATATAGTTTATAATGTTCCCATTTATTAGGAAAAATAGTTTATAATCTTCCAAATTTATTAGGAAAAATAGTTTATAATGTTCCCATTTATTTATTTATTTTTATGTCACTGGCAAGGCCGTGGTATATCCTAAATTTGTTCGGTTATCCAAGTTTTTTTCGAAGAGTACAGAACCAATAGGCTTTAACAGACATGTGACAAGAATGTAACCTCTTTCGAATGCCATTTGAACATATTGAAATATTATTTGTTTTTATTAATTTGTTTTTCCGAACATTATTCCCTCTTTTTTCATCATATTGAAATCATCCCTTTTTTTTCACATTAAAATTTTCAATTTTTTATTTATAATTTTTTTTTTTTATTCTAGCAGGCGAGCAACAGGTTTCATAACATCATTACAAGAATTGAGAAACTGATTATGAAAGAGCAAAACACAATATTCAAAATCCGACTCTGAACAAAATTTCAATTTGAAGAATAAAGAATATTATATTGATTGTACACCGCGATCTTGAAATTATAACTCTAAGCTTTTTCTTTTTTTCTTTCAACAAAAAATAATAATAACAATAATCAAACCATCTTTAAATTCAATATGGGATTATAGTTTCAAAACAGTACACGCCATCCAGCTCCGGCGCGAACCTCTGTCTCCTCGGCCGTTCTTGGCGGCTCGTCTTCTTAACCTCCGACGGCGACGATGATGAATTTACTTGTTTTCCCTTATTCAAACCCTCAACCGACGGAGAAACCTCCTTCTTATTCACTGCAGACGCCTCCTTCTCCACCTTGGCGGGAGCCCGAGAAAGGCCAACCTTCTGACCGATCGATTCAGCGCAAAAAGCATTAAACGAACTGAAAATCGACATCAACATGATTGGAGCTGTTAATGATGAAATTGATTCGAAGAATTGCTCTGAAATAACCGGACTCTGTTTTACTCTGAGAATACTTTGAGAAGAGGATGGGTAGAGGGGTTTATATGGGAGAGATAATTGGAGGTGGGTGGAAGTTTGGAGAGAGAGAGTGTGTGTGTGGTTTTTGAGACTGAATTGGGGTAAGGGGACCTAGTCCTTATTCAATGAATTGCGTGTGGCGTTGGAGTCAATTCTTTTACAATTTCTTGAGAAGTTGCTGAGAGGCGGCTTGAGGAGAAGGTAATCAAGGTGTGAAAATTCAATGTACAGCGTTGGTCAATGAAGTTTCTTGATCTTTCACACTAAGCAATGGACACTTATTCTTGACCTTGTCGTCACATATTTGAATCAAAATTTCTCTCTCTCTTTTTTTTTTTTTTAAAAAAAATAATACTATTACAAAGCTTTGTCGGTGAACACAAAAGAAAGAGGCACAGATACTCAAGCTTTGTCGGTGAACACAAAAGAAAGAGCACAGATAGTCAATTACCAACTAATGAACACGATGACACAATAAATAATAGTAGTAAAAATTTAAAATATAAATAGAGTGGGGAGAATTTTAAGTTACACAGTAAAAAGTCCGACTGAGAGTGTCTCCAGGAATACGGGTGGCAAGCCCGGGTTTGAACAGGTGTGATTCATATTCAATTTGTTTGTAATGAATTAAATATGAATTATTTGAAAAAAATAAAAAAATAAAATACGGGTTAAGTCAAAATGGGCATTTGGAGTCTTGATTCCCAGTGACATTGGAAGCATACAGGCTTCAATTAGAATTCAGCAGTGTTCCCGTATCTATCTTGACCAATTCTAAATTTGAAAGTGTTTACAGGAGGAAAAAGATTTAAGTAAATTACACTCAAACCTCCTGAGCTTAGGTCATATTTTAACTAGACGAAGATTTTAGTTTTAACTTTTACTTACACCCTAATTTACTTTTTGACATCTAATACATGCGAAATAACTATTTTATCCTCAATTTTTTTAATACAAAATATATATAATTTTAATTGACAAAATAACCCTTATTCTTTCTCCCTTCTCTTTCCTGCGGCGGCCCTCACCACGATCATCATCATCACAATCAAGTCTGCCCGGACAGATTAAAACTTTAATTCATTATAGAATAAAGCCCTCCCCCTCTCTCTCTCCTCTGATTTCAAACATTGCCACATAATCTCTCCCTCCATCGTCTTCTTCGTACTTTTCATTCAGATTTTATGGGTTTTCTTAACCAATTTGCGTACAACAACATAATACCTAAACCCGGGCCGTCTCGAACCACTCGAAACATTTCGACTTCGAATATAGCTTCGCCGACTACCGGAAGAGCCATGGCCAACTCCATAACCGCCGTCGATGAGCCCCTACATTCTCGAGATCTCCGCCATGATTCTGCCGCCACCAAAGACGTCTGTGATGGGTTCGTGGTGGTCGTTAATGGAATACAATGAGTCGCGGTACTCCAATGGAAGGGCCATCAGAGATTGGTGAGGTGGGATCTGGGTAAGGGTCAGCTTGGGACATTAGAAATCCTTCTTGTCCCAAAAAAACAAGAGTTTACTAGTCTTGGGAAGCTTTAGGACAAATTTGTGGGTTCTTATAATTTTTAAAGAGTAATTATTTAGTTGAATCATCCGGGGATCTTTTGATGCTTACCAGGTTTATAGCTCTAATTGTTGCAGAAGATGATGGACAGCCTGTATTGATTGATAATCTTGATAGACATGGCCTTACAAGCATTTGTCTTTTGGTGATAAAATAGCTTTTGTTTTGTGACTGGTGGATTGAATCATTGTAGGAACCTCCATTTTTTTTTTTTTTTTTTTGGCAACAAGATGGCTGGAAAAAGATGTCTGAATGCAGCAGGATTGATGGGTGGAGTTGAGGAAGAAGACGAGAGGAGA